GTGTCTGTCCTGAGGGACCTCCAGAGTGCCCAACCCCCCCTCCCCATGGGATGTTATATGGCGTGAGGACACGCCTTCCAGAGGGGGGGCGTTATGTCAGACTCTGTTCCGTGTTTTGTGGTTGTTTTCCTCATGTGCCTTCCTTTCCCATGTTTAATTTGTCCCAGGTGTTTCCCATGATGTTTCATTGCTCCCAGGTGTGTCTCGTCATCCCCTCCTCCTGTGGGTATAAATAGTGTTCCCTGTGTGTGCTCCAGCGTCCGGTATTGTTCATGTCATGTCTCCAGGTATTGCGTGAGTGTTCCGTGTTCCTTTGTGTAAATTAAAACCCAGTTGGATTGATGTACTCCTCGTCTCTCTCCGTTCCTTGCTCCTGACTCCGCTCAGCAGTGCACCCGTGACACCATGAGCACTGTAATGGAATATATACCTTAGACGGCTCTCTTGTTAGCATATTTTCACTGTGCATAAATTAGAGCATATGGAGGGAATTGCAGCTTTGAACTCAGGCGATAATTAAACGCATATAATTGGATGACACCAGAATGGTGAAAGCGGTGAAAATAGACACACTTACTGCATGTTTGGTGTGAAAGAGGACATACCCTTGCCATGTTCAGACCATCAAATCAATTACATTTCATTAGGGATCACGATTTGTAAAAGAGCACATTGTGCCTACATAGGCAACTTACTTCTAAGGCAGCAGCCATGAAATAGAATGAATGAAATCATAATTCACTGAATTACAGTGCTCTACATAGTCAGCAACTAAAACAGAGTTCTTCATGTGAAGTGCACATGAGACTCGACAGAGTTGAATAGGGGTTAATGTTAACATGTTACTAAACTAACGATGCAGTACTCTTATAAGAATAAAATACACTTTTTGAAATGATTTTGTAAGTAAGTGTTATTATTAATAATGATAAATATATATAATTATGAATTAAAATATATAAATATATTAAATATATATTATTGTATATTAATATACAAAATGAATAAAACATAATTTAGTAACAAACAATACGATATACTGTTTGTATTAAAATATATATTATTATAGATATTTATATTAACACTCTCTTTCTAAATTTGTACTGTTTTTCTGCCATCTTGTTTTTTTCCCACTAAGCTTTTTGAAATGCATACTGGGATTGCTATTTATACTATTTATATGAATTATTATTTTATATATTTATTATAATATAATTTATATTAATATATTCAATAAATAATAAATATATTGAATAGATGTTTAATAATAATAATAATACTTGATAATCAAATGTCTTGTTTTTCTGCCATGTTGAATTTATTTTTATTTTTTTCACTAAGCTTGTAGAATTGCATTCTGGAATGGTTACTATTTATATACTTATAGTATTGCTTATTATATTGTTACTTATTAATATATAATTTATATGAATATATTTTATAAATATATTGAATAGATTGCTGCTCATGTAAAATGCCTAAAATGCTGTCTAGTCTGAAAGCTCGCTAGGTTTCAAATCTAAACTGTTTTGGTGTCGTTTCTGTCTACCAGGTTTTGAGTTCTTCGAGACGAGTGCCAAGGACAACATCAACGTGAAGCAGACCTTTGAGCGTCTGGTGGATATAATCTGCGACAAGATGTCAGAGAGTTTAGAGACTGACCCCACCGTGACCACAGGCACCCAGGGAACGGCCCGGTTAACGGATAACCCTCCTCCACTACAGCAGCCCAACTGTGCCTGTTAGTGCTCAGTTTACATGGTAGCATAAGTGTGTGTGTCTGACACCTTTAGATAGATGCATATATCCTTTAATGTCATAGAATACAGGTGTTGGAACAACTTGAATCTGAACAGTGCATGTCAGGAGGAGTCATGTGACCCTTTACACCCAATGGGAACAGAGCTGTCATATGGATGCTGTCTTGATCAATGGCGAGCAGTTCAGTGTTTTAAAAAGCAGTATGGATAAAAATAGCTTAAAGGTGCCATAGAATGGAAAACTGTATTTACCTTGGCATAGTTGAATAATAACAGTTCTGTACATGGAAATGACATACCGTGAGCCTCAAACACCATTGTTTCCTCCTTCTCGTGTAAATCTCGTGCATTCAAAAGACCACTGAAACATAGCGAATCAGAACATAACACTGACTGTGACGTTACAGTCGGGATCACTAATAGTTACGCCCCCAACATTTGCATATACTTGCCCATGTTCTATGCCAGCCGAACCTGCACAACCAAACCATCAGAAGTTCTGCAGGTATTGTGAAGAAACAAGCGAGGATAATAGCGAAAATGGCAGATCGTGGCAATAAATGTTATGTTCCAGGCTGTGCAGGGGATGTGATGTGCAGAGATGGGTTGGTGTCTGTATTCAGAAAGGCACAGAAAACAAACAACGTGCGTTCTAATAAAATAACGCAAGCCACTAAAGGGACATGGTTAGCTGCTTGCTAGCAGTAGCCTGTTACATTACAGTACATAAGATTTCACTGATCACATAAACAGAGTAAGGAGAGGTGACTGAGGAAGATGGAGAATGATTTACAGATCCTGATCACCACTGACAAGCATCTGATCTTGTAAAATGTGTGGCAAGTACTGCCGCTGTAGTTTACACAGAGCACGTGCGATCGCAAATCTCGAAAGTGAAAGTAAAAAGCGATCGTGCATTCGAAAGCAGTTTTAATGCCCTGCATATTAATAGTGGCTCCCTGATGCCGCATATTATATACAGTATAATTACCCAACGATATAACTGCGAAAGACAGTATTGAAATTTATATTTCCCTGTGTTTCCTTCCTGCTGTGTGAGCTACTGAAATGAGCCGCACTGTGAAACAGCCAATCAGGGCAGAGCTCAACATAATTATTCATGACCCTTCCAAATAAGGTAAAAACAGACCATTTCATTCTAGGGGCAAATCCTAGGGTTGTAAATGGACATGTAAAACCGTTTCTGGAGATTGTTTGCCCTTACCTAAGGCACATAGCTTCTATGTAGAAATCAGAGAACAAGTTAAAATATTGTATCAATGCATTCTATGGCAATTTAAGGAGACTTGCCAATTAGAACAATTAAAAATATTGTATCAATGCATTCTATGGCACCTTTAAAAAATATTAATATGTTGCATTTCTTTGGTCATCAGTTATATTTGGTCTGTGACTCTGTTGCACCACTAGGTGGCGTTCAAACAGGACACATTGTTGTATTCCAAAACATAAAGCCACAATGCAGGGGTCCTGAGGCGCTTTTTAAAATGATAAGATGCAGCGGCCAAAGACATCTGTCTGATGCATGTGAAAACAGACCAAACGAACCCAGAACGCAAGAATGTTGTGTTGTGTACGAATGCTACTTTTGCCTGTTTTGTTCCAGCACCTTTGCGCTAGTCACGTCAGTCTATATGGTGCCTAGTTCATTCTGACACTCTGTTTTCTTTACTGTCAATCAAAGTCCTAACAGCCTTTACAGCACTGTTATTTAGTTTGTCGAGACTTTGTCCACATGCATGCAGCGGTTGTTTATAAACTGATGAGTTTTGAGTACGATCGAACTGAACTTTTGCTAAGCTCCGCCCCCTTAGTTACAAATAAATGTCATTTTTTTAGTTATGAATAAACGTAATTACATAGTTATGGATAAAGACATGGTTACTAATTAGTTTGGAAAAAAATGAAGGTTTTTATGAACCTTTATGATCTAAAGCATGATCAAACTGTTCTTTCGGTAAGCTCAGCCCCCTTAGTTACAAATCAATTTAAAAGTTACAAAAAATAAACTTGCAAGTTTGTTTAAAATATACTGGAGATTTTTGTGAACTCTTTATGATTCAGAGCATGATCAAACTGACCTTTTGCTAAGCGCCACATTTGGTGGCAAATAAACTATGTCATTACGACTAAAAATGTAGTTAAGAGTTAGTTTAGAATAAACTAGTGAATTTTGTTAAACTTTCACTAAGCTCCACTCCCTTAATTACAAATAAATGTAATTTCGTAGTTACGAATAAACGTAATTACATAGTTACATATAAAAAATAGTAACTAATTAGTTTAGAATAAACTGGAGAGTTTTTTTTAACCCTTTATGACTTTGAGTACGATCGAACTGACCTTTCGCTAAGCTCCGCCCCCCCTTAGTTACGAATAAACGTTATTACAAAGTTACGAATAAAAACTTAGTTGCAAATTAGTTTAAAATAAACTAGAGATTATTGTGAACTCTTTATGATTTAGAGCACGATCGAACTGACCTTTCGCTAAGCTCCGCCCCCCCTTAGTTACGAATAAACGTTATTACAAAGTTACGAATAAAACGTAGTTGCAAATTAGTTTAAAATAAACTAGAGATTATTGTGAACTCTTTATGATTTAGAGCACGATCGAACTGACCTTTTGCTAAGCTCCACTTCCTTAGTTGCGAATAAACTTAATTATGTAGTTCCGATAAAAACGTAGTTACGAATTAGAGTAAACTGGAGATTTTTGCAAAGTGATTTTTTTTTTCTTCTTCTTTCATTCAAATAGTTTTGGATGATTTTAAATTGACACATTTTAAATTTTAAAAAATTTAAATGTAATTACAAAATCACACAGGACGTCCTGTCTGGCAACAGTTGCTAAGGTAGGATTGGTCGGAAGTTTTTTAGGGTGGGGCTTAGTGCAGGGTCAGGTACACAAAGTAAAGGATCTTAATGGCAATCCTACAAAATTGCTTTAATACACACAAAGACTTTTCAGCGGTATTGTAGATCAGGAATTCATGCCATATTAATCTAATTGAAATTCCCCATCAGTGATATCAGCTGCATAACTCTAGTGTGTGCATATATGTACCGTAGATTATTAAAGATTACATCTATATGAATATATGATCTATCTAGTGTATATAGGTTTGTATATACTTCAGTCAGATGAATATAATGTTGTAGATTCAAGTAGCTGTTCAATACAGGGGGGAAAATGTGCATTAAATGTTTCTACACATTTAGTTTGATCATTGTAAATGAATTCACGCTGATGAAGTGAAATATTTATTTATCTATTTATTCAAAGCAAACAGACTTACAGTGAGAAAAAGAAAAGTAAATGTGCTTCATGAGCTGCGTGTGTCTGATAACGAAACGTTCTTCTAGGTGAAGTGGAGTTTGTATTTTTCCCCGAGCCCTTTTTTCTCCATTTCTCTTTTCTGTTTATCATTGTGGTCGGTTGTTTTTCTCTGCTGGCTAAAAAGCTACTTTGTGGAGGATGTGATTTGCTGTCCCTGCTTTTATCTGGTTTTATGCTCATGGCTGGAGAGGATTCAGTGATTTTTAGATGTTATAAGGAAACCGCTTCTCTGTCGCCTGAGTCGGGTCGATGCTTGCTGAAGCTTGTCTTGTAAAATGATGCAGTAATAGCCAAGGAAATGTGTCGGGCAGCTATTTTCAGGAGAAATGAGTCGCTCATCAATATTTAATCTGACAAACCTTAAATGACTTTGGCCATGGATTTTTTCATTTTTGAGTCAGAAAAATAACACGCCTACTGTAGGGCGAACGTCTCGAAAGATGACAATATTCAGAGTATATTTCACCTCAAAATGAAACCGAGAGAAAAAGTTGTTCGTTTTTGCGTAAAGAAACACATTTTCCCCATAAATTCTTATTAGCTTAAGATTTTTCTTAAAGTACTGTCTGTTTTTTCATGTTTCTTTTCGTATATATATATATATATATATATATACACACACACACACACACACACACACGCAGATATATTAGTAAGTAATATATTAATATAT